CCTCCGCAGCCCAGCCGGTATCCCCCGAGCGGGCTCAGACCCCCTGCCCGGGGGTCCCTGCGGTGCCCGGGGGCGGGTTGGTCACCCGAGTCGGGCTCGGTGCAGCCACGGTGCCTACCTTATCAACCTAAACCGACACGGTGTGAATCGGAGAATCATGGAATCACAGGATGAGTTGGGTTGGGAGGCACCTTCAAGCCCATCCAGTCCCACTCCCTGCCGTGGGCAGGGACACCTCCCACTAGCCCAAGTTGCTCCCAGCCCTGTCCAACCTGGCCTTGGACACTTCTAGGGATAGGGCAGCCACAGCTTCTGTGGGCAACCTGTGCCAGGGTCTCACCAGAGTCGGGTGAGTGATTTGTCCTGGTGGCTCCAAAATGGTGTGACTGTATAAGCTCCGAAATTGAAAATAATAAAGACACAGGCCTAAAGCTGTGCAGAGACTGGCCAAGACGCTGGATGTGCTGGGTTTGGAGAGATAATGACAGGAAGGTGCTGGGATTGGCAGCTCTGCCCGGGACTGGGTCCCTGAGCTGGCATATGCAGCTCTGCCAATGCCCATGGTGCTCCCCAGGCTTGGAGCCTCAGCAGATCAACCTGGGTGCCAGGGTACCACAGCTCCCATCTTTCACGTGAATCCTTCCTCTCCTCTGCTCACTGTGTTTTCGTGGGCTCTGCTTGGAGATCTGAAAGGTAAAGCCAAGTGCTCCCCCATTACTGTGGGCCCAGGTCAGCAGGAGCAGGAGCTGGCAGCACATGGGATGTTCCCCGAGAGCGCAGTGTGTGCTGCCCACACCTTGGGAGCTGGGTGTGAGTGGCAGGAGCAGCTGGGCACAGTAAGAGCCAGGACACGTGCTGCTGGGCAAGACTCTGCCAGGGCCCCTTGAGGGGTGGCAGCAGGGCAGCTGCTGGTGTGAGAGTCTGCAGGAGAGGCCACAGAGCTCCGTGTCTCACGGCCTGAAGCTGCTCAGGTGTTCTGCTCTGTGCGGTGTCCTGTGCCTGTGCAGTCCATCCGCGTGAGTTTTCCCTTCTGTCCCCAGAAGAAGACGATGGGGTGCTGGAAGGACTGGATGAGTTTTTCGCTGAAGAGCAAGTTGTGGTACAGAAAAAGAAGAAATCCAAGAAGCTGAAAGACGGCAAGACTGCCAAAATCAAGAGGAGGAAGAAGGAGGTAACGCTGCATGTTCTCACATTGGGCTGGAGCTCCTTGGCTGCGGTGCAGAGGCAGCTGCTCAGGATGCTGCTGGCAAGCGCCTCTCAGGTCTCTCTGGATGGAAAGGGGGGTCATTATCAGGGTGTTCCCCCCCGAGGAGGTGCTCTCCCAGCCCTGGGAGGTGACCCAGAGCCAGGGCATGGCAGCTCTTTCCCAACTTGGCTGCTTGAGGGTGCCAGTGTGCCTTGTGAGTGGTCTCTGGGGAGCAGCTGGGTGGATAAGGGCCCCTGTGGGTGCCTGCCCTGTGGAGCAGCTCAGCTCTCGTGGGTGGTGTGTGTGATGGGACCGTCCGTCTCTGTGTGTCGAGGCCCTTGTGCCTGCACTGCAGTGCAGCACCCCCTTCCCTCTGCCTCTGTGGCCAACAGTAAATCTTGGCATGTCTTCTACCAACACGGTGTTTGGGGCTCATGTTCCCAAAGAGGGAGGTGCAAGCTACCATGTTGGGGCATGATTGGGGTAGGGCTTGGAGGTTTCTGTGGATATTGGTGTTGGCCACACTCATTCCAGGTATTTGCAAGTGAGATGGCACAGGGGCTTCTAGGATTTGGCATGTGGAAAGGCTGTTGGGCTTTCTGCAGTAAAACAAAGGCAAAGTGTTGTGTCCTCAAGGGTCAGGCCCTGAGGCTGTCCCAGAGGTATGCTGCTGGCTCCTGGAGGAGGGCTGGCTGGTACTGGTCCTGGAGCCAGGCTCGTTGCTGCTCTGTGCCACGCAGGCTCTGCCTCTCATTGTCCCGTCTCCAGGCAGTGCTGGACGTGAGGAGACATCTTGTGCACTGTCCCTTTCCCTGGCTAAAAGTGGACAGGCTGCTGGGAAGAAAGGGTGAGCAGCGGAGGTTCCTCAGCCCCTTCCTTCTCCTGCTGTGGCTGGGGAGAAGTTGCTCATCCAGCACAACCGGGTGCATCTCCGGTCTGGCCCTCGCCAAGGCAGGGCTGGGTGATGCTGATCTCCTCTAGCTGCTCCCTGAGGGAGCTGTAAAACAGATCAGCTGGATGAGGTACTGCATTGAAGCGCTTTTGGTACTGGTAGGAGTGTGATGAGCTGCTGATTTAAGGGCAGGTGATTCCATCCTGTGCTGCCTCTTGCAGAAGTCTTGGCCCTAAGGAAGGTTGTTTCTGTCGTGGCTGTGGTGATGTTCTCTTTCTGCAGATACCATGCAAAGCTGGTTTGGGCCTTCTGCCCTCTCTGCCTCTTCCATCCTTAAGCATGTTTTTTTTTCCTGTGCTGTGTTCTGGCAGGGTGAAAATAAAACACGACTCTGTGGTGTTTCCCCTCTGCTCCTTTGCTGTTGCTGCTGACCTGCCTGAGCCCAGTGGCTGCATGTGCAGCTTGTGCTGAGCCTGCTGCCGAGCTGGGGGTGGGGAGGAAATAACAGGCCGAGCACTGTGTGCACTCATGTTTTTGAATTAATGCCTGGTGTGGGCAGCACTAACCAACCTCGGTCCTGCCCTGTCCCCTGGTCTGTCGAAGACAGAGAGAAGCTGGTGCTGGAGCTGTTGGTTGGCACCAAGCAGCACCCAGGCTGCCCTTGGGATGAGGAGATAAAAGATGGAGGACCTTGACTGGGGCTTCCTTTTCCTGAATTCCTCCTCAGGAGTTCTGGGGGCAAATGGGACTTTCCCGTGCTAGAGGAGGGTGGGAGTGATGTGCAAGCCTTGATGTGTGGCCGGTGCCCGAGCCGAGACTGACACCCTGCAGTCCCCGGGCTCTGTGGGAGCGCGGGGCAGGAGCGGTGCCGCCGCCGCGGGATTCGCCTCCAGCAGCCGCAGTGGAGCCCGTGCCCTTCCCGGCGACGCGGGAATCGGTGCTGCAGCCCCCGGGAAAATCCGCGCGGAACACCCAGGCTGCGGCTGGAGCCTCAGCGCAGGCAGAGGAAGGGAAGGGAGTGGAGAGGGGGATTCAACCTGTACTGCAGCAGTTCCCATGGAAACCAATTATCCTGTGCCCAATTCCAGCTGTTCCTAACCCTGCCGGAGGAGAGGCGCGGGCTGCTCCGAGCCGGGAGAGACCAGCCGGCCTCGATGGCCGCCGAGCCCCGGCAGCCCTGGGGATCAGCGCCCTGGGCCGGGGCGGTGGCTCCGGGCAGGAGGGGCTGGAGGCGGGAGCGGCGGAGGGGACCGGGACCGGGACCGGGACCGGGGAGGGCTGGCGGGGCTGGGCGCTGTCCGCGGTGCTGACCGGGCCCGGTCCCTCCCGCCGAGCCCTGGTGCCCTAACCTAACCTGGTGCCCTAACCTGGTGCTGCTCGGAGACCCGAGGGGCGGAATGGCATCCCGAGGGACCTGGACAAGGGGAGGAGCGGACCCGTGGGAACCTCGTGAATTGCAACAAGACCAAGTGCAGGTGCTGCACCTTGGTCAGGGCAACCGCCGGTATTGGCACAAGGCTGGGGGACCAGCAGATCAAGAGCAGCCCTGCCGAGAAGGACTTGGGGGTGCTGATGGGTGAGAGGCTGGACGTGTCCCAGCCATGTGCACTGGCAGCCCAGAAAGACACTCGAGTGCTCTGCCCAGCAGGCAGTGGCATTCCTTGGCACGGTGATGTGGGTGCAGTCAGTGTTGTGTGGTGGGTCACGGTCTCTCCCAGAAAGAAACAAAAATCCCCCCTGGGCAGTCCCTGCTCTGGCTCTCCCAGCATAGTGTAGCCATCAGAGCCCGCTCCCTTCTGATCCTGGGGAAGCAGGCTACATCCATCCACTGGAGATGGGAAGTTTTGTGTAGCAGGGAGGGTTTGTGAGAGGGGAACAGGGAGTTGAGGCCCTGCTTGTTCTCCACTGTCCCTTTCTGTTTTAGGGGAGCAATGATGAAATGTCAGACAATGAAGAGGAGATCGAGGAGAAATCTGAGAGTGAAGGGAGTGACTATTCCCCCAACAAAAAGAAAAAGAAAAAACTGAAGGACAAGAAGGAGAAAAAGCAAAAACGGAAGAAGAAGGATGATGAGGAGGATGACAATGAGGATGGAGTCCTAAAGGTACAAAAGACTCCTTTACCCTGAGCTAGTGCTAGAGCCTGAGGCCAGGCTTGGAGAAGAGGAACTGGGGGTTTCATGAAAAACTTGCCCTGGGTTTGGCAAGGAAGATGTTGCAGATGAACGACTGGGAGAGAAGAGGTTCTATCTCCCTGTTGTTTATCTTATGGATAGGGAGAAATGGAGTTTGTTGGAGCTGTGAAACCTGCCAAGACCTTGTGTTGTATTACATGGTGTGGGTAGCATTTGTATGGTGCCATGTTAATTTGCTACTTGAGACTGAGTGAAATGTTAGTTTGTTAAGCACTTGTGTGTGCTGTTTTGTAAATCCCAGAAACAAATCCCTGCATGTTGTTGACTAGGGAGATATGGAGCACATGACAGACCCAGCCTTGTGATGCTCACCTGCAGAGCTGT